TCCTCAGACGCTGTCGTCCAGGCAACAGGACCCCAGTCGTCTCTCAGCAGCTGTACTCCTGGCTCTTTGTAAAGATCTGTTATTTAAAGCTCACCAACAAAAAAGGAAAATGTTCACAATTATTGTGAGTCAAGAAAAATATGGGGTGGCCTATTTTTTTCACCTTTATTTGAATTTTTGCTTTAGTGGGCTGTTATGTGTGAGTCACTGCTTTGTTATTTTTTTTTTTTTTTAAAGACCCACATAGACTCACAATGGACCTGCAGTCACACTTAACTGAGACATGAAGGGAAATTCTACACAATGTAAAAAAGTGATGATAAATGTATTTACAAATGTCTATGATTCGATTAACTTGGTTTGATTAACTGGCCTCGGATACTTAGGACAGGTTGATTTTGCAATCCTGGGTTAATTATAACCAGTGGTTAACAAAGCTCAAGCAAACACATTCCATAGACTGATATTGCATTTGTTTTAGCTGAATGAAACTGATCAGTGGATCTTGGAGCTTCCTTGTAACGGGACACAGATTCTAAATGTGTTAAATGCGTGTCATATTACGTTTTGTTAGAAACACTGATCTTACAGAATTATGTACGAAATTCTAGAACCCCTTTGCTAAGGACAACCAAATGGTTTAAAGCTCAGAATGTGACACCTCTCCCTCCAGACACAATGAGCTCTTTTTGAACTCAGTTTTCCAGCTCCTAATGATCACTTCGGGGCCTACTTTACACTTGTCATTTCCTCCTCAATTATTCTGACCTTGAACCGATTGCTGCAGACGTGTGACCTACTGCTGGGGTATGCTGAATAACTTCACAGAAGCCTATTTTCCTCCAGAGCATTGTGACCTGACACTAAAGATGATCCACTGCTTTAAAAAAAAACTTTTTTGGCTCATTCTTCATACTCCCACCACCCAAGATAAGCGTTTTACCATCAACTTATGAGAAATCAAATTTAAAATAAGGCAAATCTTCATATACCAATTGGATATTAAATTGATATTATTTATTTGGCTTTTGAAATGTTCAATATGTTTTCCCAAACAATTCCATTCACCGTTTTAAACATTCCGTAATTCTGTCATCTTGTCAAATGACTATTAAAGTCCTTTTCACAGAGGTTTTGGTGGCTGAGAGACAAGAAGTTTACAAGCAACATACGTTCCTTTCTGAAGTTAAGAGGTGACCTTATAAAGCCCATAAGGGAAAGCTGAAGGAAACTCTTGCCTTCTCTCTAGCTGTCTGACTCCAGGGTACGGTAAATACAGCCATTATTATCTCACTCTTGAGAAATGGTTAGCTGTAATGCTGCTGTGGCTATTAGATCTTAAATGTCAACTCTTACTAGAAAAAACGAGAAACTGTTTTAAGAATTGTGCAAAGTAAAAGGTGTCCGATAAAAGATGCAGCTGTAATTGTCTGTGTACAGGTTTTATTTTAATCAATTTGGACTGCCAGATTGAAGATGTAGAAATGTATTGTAGTTTAACTATATATTTTTACTTATTATATTGTACCCACTTTATGGACACTTCATTAGGTACACCTGTCAACACAAATTGTCTAATTAGCCAATCACATGGTAGCAACTCAATGCATTTAAGCATGTGGATATGGTCAAGAGGATCTGCTGCTGTTCAAATCGAGCATGAATTAAATCACTTTGAACATGGCTGGTCTGAGTATGTCTGAAAATGCTGATCAACAGGAAAGCCATCTCTAGGCTTTCCAGAGAATGGTCTGAGAAAGAGAAAATATCCAGTTCTGAATCTATGCCACAAAGAATTAAGGCAGTTCCAAAGGTTAAAGAGGGTCCAACCTGGTACTAGCAAAGTATACCAAAGAAAATTGTCATTTAGTGTATACTCTTTGGCCAAAATAAAAAAGTACTGCATTATCTTTCAGCTGGCAAAAAGATATTGAAACCCAACTGATATAATAAGCCACTTCTCATTCCATAGATTCTCTGGTGATTCTCTGGTGGTTGTGGAAAAGATGTCTGTTTCAGGACAATTCATTGGCATGCATCAAACAGAGAAAACCCTATAAAGAGATCGCAAAAACTACAAAAAAATTGGTGAATATCAGAGCATTATTAAAACCCTATACGTACATAATAAAAAAAACAATACCACTCTAATTTACTATTCCTACTTATTAAAGCTTACTTCAGACGGTAAAAAAAAGTTTTGAAGCAGTGATCAAAATGCAACTAAAAACAGGAAATAACCAATTAAGGGTACAGTTTTTAAAAGCTGTGTAATAAAATGTTTTCTCCAGTTTATACACATTTTTAGTCCCCAATTGCCTTTGAATTGTTTATTGTGAAAAATAATAAAATCATAATATTGGTTTAATTATCGTATGGTTGCCCACCCTGTTCCTGGAGTGTCATTGTCCTGCAGAGTTTAGCTTCAGCCTTAATGAAACATACATCGCATAGACACTGACACTCCTTTTGGCTTGTTTGGAGCTGCTGGCCTTTGTGGATTGAAGCAAGGCCTGACAGCGGCACTTCAAACGAATCCATTAACATAGATTAGGATTCAGGCAAGAGCATAAATCTAGTGGCGCGTTATAACTTTCACACAGTGCCAGAATATAACGTATGTGATTCTGATATAATAAGAAACTGAACATTGTGTTTGCTGGTTTTGAATAATAATAAAGCTCCAGTGCTGGACAATGTTTTGCTCATGATAGCACAGGGACTCTTATTCACAAACGTATGATATGAGAGAGACACTTTGATTATTCACAGTTCAGCCTCATGACACCCCACTCGGCTCCCATCAGCAAGCACTTCAGACAAGCCCTGCAGGATTCACCAGCTACAAATACAGACGTGCTAAAGCCCTTCAGACAAAAGCCTGAGTCTTACCCTACAGCAAGTGTTCAACCTTCTCTTGAAGGGGGGAATCATGTAAGGGCATCTGAAGGCAGTTGGAGGAGGGGTAGAGGTCAGTGAGAGATTGATGAAAGTAAGACGGGGGTGGAGTGAATAATTTAGACCGGCCTTTACTTCCTTCATTAACCTCTTGCTACACATAGCTGCTCCTTCACTGAGCTTCACTGAAAATAGACATTCCTGCTAAATGCTTTGGAGTCAACACAACCACCATCTCACACTCTTTCCTTCGTGCACCATCCACCGATTCAGTTGCTCTTTCAAAAATATATATACATTTTTTTTAAAGTCCTAACTCAGTTGTATATAAGGATTCCACTTTGCTAGTCAGATTCGTCTCAGCAGATACTTTACTAGCACATGATTGAACGTGCACAATAGATTAGAGAATGCACTCAAACACCATCTAAATCCATCCTGGTTTTTCATGTATTTAAAGTGGAAAGAAGATCATTTTTATGCAAAACCCTCTCTTTTATTGTGTAATTGGCAGCAACTAAAAAAATCACCTTCCTGCCAAGTAAAGCAACACGAGGCCAGAGCTCTGAAGTCACAGCTGTCTGATGTGATGTTGAGTCATTCACCTCCCACTCACATTGCCTCCCATGTCTGTCTGTCTCTCTGCGTGTGAGTGTGAGCGTGAGCGTGATGCAATGCATTGCATGTCATTTTCCACATTACAACTGAAAGTTTCAAAAGAAATTATGAAATGTATTTAATTTTAACTTGATGGCTAAAGTGGGCACGCAAAGTTTGATGTTGGCTTGTAAAAGTGAAAAATTGTCAAAATTATTTTTTAGAAAATGTGCCCTTAAAAATAAAAAAAATTATTACGTAACAGGGTGGCATGGTGGTGAATTGGGTAGAATTCCGGGTAATCTGGTTTTCCCCACAATCCCAAAGTGATTAGGTTAATTGAATAATCTAAATTATAGAATGGACATGCGACCTGTCCAGGCCCCCTCTCCCAAAGTTAACTGGAGATCCAGCAGATCCCTGAATGAATGAATGAATGTATGAATGAATGATTAAATTAATGAATGAATGAATGAATGAATGAATGAATGTATGAATGAATGATTGAATAAATGATTAAATGAATGAATGAATGAATGAATGATGAAATGAATGAATGTATGAATGTATGAATGAATGAATGAATGAATGTATGAATGAATGATTAAATTAATGAATGAATGAATGAATGTATGTATGAATGATTAAATTAATGAATGAATGAATGTATGAATGAATGATTGAATAAATGATTAAATGAATGAATGTATGAGTGAATGAATGAATTAATGAATGAATGAATGAATGTATGAATGAATGATTAAATTAATGAATGAATGAATGAATGTATGAATGAATGATTAAATTAATGAATGAATGAATAAATGAATGTATGAATGAATGATTGAATAAATGATTAAATGAATGAATGTATGAATGAATGATTGAATAAATGATTAAATAAATGAATGAATGAATGTATGAATGAATGATTGAATAAATGATTAAATAAATGAATGAATGAATGATGAAATGAATGAATGATTGAATGAAGGATTAAATGAATGAATGATGAAATGAATGAATGTATGAGTGAATGAATGAATGAACGAACAAACAAATGAATGAATGAATGTATGAGTGAATGAATGATTAAATTAATGAATGAATGAATGATGAATGAATGAACGCATGAATGAACAAATGAATGAATGAATGATTGAATGAATGAATGAATGATTGAATGAATGAATGATTGAATGAATGAATGATGAAATGAATGATGAAATGAATGAATGAATAATGAAATGAATGAATGAATGATGAATGGATGAACGTATGAATGAATGAATGATGAAATGAATGAATGAATAATGAATGAATGAATGAATGAATGAATGAATAATGAATGAATGAATGAATGAATGAATGAATGAATGGATGAATGGATGAATGGATGAATTGTGATTAACATAGCCAAATCCCCATTTCTCTATGATGTTTCATTGTGAAGATATGTTTGGTGCCCTTTCCCATTCATTCTCAATAGCCACTATCTTCACAGCTTTCCTGTGGCTCAGTCAGTACAGAGCATTGTGATAGCAACACAAAAGGTCAGGGGTTCAAATCCCAGGAAAACAAGAATTACCATTATTTGTTAATTGCTTGAAATGTAAGTTGTTTTGGGATAAAGTGTCTGCCAAATACATAAATGTAAATTCACTAGTGACTTTTGACCCCCACAGTTGCAAACAGTCATAAAACCTTAGAAATGGCTCAAATAAAGGATTTAGGCTATGTCACACGTCCCCCTATTTGTTTAATACAGATTTTGTTCTCAAACCGTGTTAAAAAAAACATCCACACATGTCCATTTAAAAAAAAAAAAAAAAACTTCCCCACGGACACTCAAACACCCCTCAAACGATGCAATGACCAAACCAGCAAGTAAAATTTTAAAAATTATTTTTTAACACTCCATAAGGAAAAACACAAGGGCCTCTGTTCAGTGATCAAATGGGAAACATACACGTGTAAGACACAATAGTGGAATAAACAGTGACATAGTCCTCGCTTCGACCGCCATTACTCTGGCTGTTGTCAACACAATGATACAGCATGACGACAAACTCCACCCCTGAATACAAACTACTCCGGTTATCCTGTACACACAGGCACAGCGTTTTCAAAAATGTGCGGTTACATGAAAACAGTGCTATGATTATGTGTGGCATATTTCTTTTTTTACCATTCTCTCTCACTTTGTCCATGACCCTCACACACAGCAAGCTCTCCCCCAAGCACATGGATTATTGATCAATGTAAAGAGCACACAAAATGTAGACCTTCTCTGTTATAAAAGAGAAAGAATGAAAGAAAAGGAAAAACATTTTCCCTCCTCTTCAGCTCAGCAGGAAACTCCAAATGCCACCAGAGCAGTGAGCAGAGAAGTGAAATGGAATGGAAGCGGAAGCAAGGGGAGAAAGGGAAAGAGCGAGGGATTGTTATAGAGGTGTTAAAGAGGACATGTAAAGGTCAAAATATAATAGCTTTTGAGTTTCACCTGCTGTCTTCCAACAGATGATTTGAAAAGCAACAGAGAGGGTGAGAGAGAACATATTTTATGCCCCAAAGAAAATGTAAACAGAGCCTAACCTCGCGCATACGTTTTCTGAAATCCTTCATTTAATGGTGTATCTTTTGGTCTAAGCATCAACAAGAAACCTAAAAACCTCAAAACAGTTCTATTCATTCAGAACAGTTGTCACAGTTCTAAAAAAGATGGAGATAGCGTAAGTGCAACTCAGGGTTTATTTACAATATTTAAACAAGAAGTACATTCCTTAGAATGAGACAAAGACAGCTTATCAGTTGTTCTGGAAGTTCTTCTGAACTGGGTCAAATCATTTAAGCAAATTCTTGAACATACTTAGAAATACCAGGACAAAATCCATCTCCTAAATAGTCTTAAGCGCTTACTGTTTATGTATTAATACCTAGTGCAAACTGGCAGCTTTGGTAAAGGTACTGCTTCAAATTCTGCTTTAGAACAATATTTGTGCAGAAATGAAAGAAAATTTAGCAATCAGACGGATGTGTGAAGTGAAATGTAGAAGAGGGTTTCTGATTTCATTTGCTGTGATATTAAAGAACGAGGTGAACTTTAGACAAGCCTCGCAGCAGCGTGAGGATCTATTTCAGTATTCTCAATATAACGCTGAAACACTTCCTGCAGGAGAAATGTCATGTGTGCTGGACAGAGTTTTCCTGTAAAAACTAGATCTTCAGAAGCAGCTCAGCTTTTGGAATCGAAAGGTTGATTTCTCATTCTGCTGAGGCTTAACATGTGAGAAGAAGAAGAGGAAAAGTGAGAATCAAGAGCATGAAGGATATTATCAGCAAGAGAAGACATTGGGACCCTTACTGATTACCAAGACTGTATAATTACTGTAATACTGAATTAGTAAAGCACCACATGGCATCTCTCACAAATCCTCAGGCAATTCCACTGCCCCAATCACTCTCTCAGTCCAAAAAAAAAAACAAATATAAAGAAAGACATTTTCAGACACTGATGTATCTAAATTAAATGAGTGTAAATAAAGCTTCCCCATGATTACTGTATCAATCTGCCAGTCAAGAATGAGGTAAATATTGGAACAAATATAATATTGCTAACAATGACTTGGCCACAGAAATTCATGATATCATACAAAGCTGAATAAATTATATGAACTGATCACTGATCAGCAAAAATGTACACATCATTCAAATTAATTTCATAAGAAGAAAAATAAGCAATAAGCAATGTGTGGAGTGCTTTGTATTAATACACAAGTTCTTTTACAGACAAAAAAGAACATAATACATATTTTTGTGAAGTGATGCATGTAATTTATATCTTTTAATTAAAGGTCAAAGCCAAAGGAGCTGTTATTTACACTTTAAACATCAATAGCAGATGCAGTGCTTGGTGAAAGGAAACAACGTTCTTTAAATTTACAATATACGCTATATAGTTCCCATCTGGAGCGGAAAGGAATACAGAAATGAAGGAGAGGGAGCAGTATACAAACTCTGAAATATGAAGGGTTCACTCTCAATTACAATCTCTATACAGAACATTACAGATAAAATTGTCGAGCCCACAGAAGCTCCGTTCAGTGGCCTACAAAGTAGCCTCTAAAAAAAGAATCTGAAGAAATGCCTTATTAAATGATTCACAAGAGCTTCATATACACTTCTGGGTTTATCTACAGTTGCCCTCGGTGGGTGATGGTTAGAATTAGTTCTGCAGTTAATCTGAAAGAGAGTTTGACATTTGAATTCACAAAGCACACACAGACTGCATTGCGGATACTGTTGAAGCCGTTATGCTGCGGTATTTTGTTTGCCTTTCTTCCATCAGTTTAGTTTGTGATTCTTCTTGAACCTCATTTGAGTTTTTGGTTCGAGATCGTCGCGATCTCTTCGTGAGAGGTTCTGTGTCCGTGTCACTCCCCAGAGTGCAGCGTCTCACCTGCAGTTTCCGCTGCTAGAAAGCACCCTCCCCCATCGCACTCTCAGGTTTGGGTTAAGCACTCTTAGTTTAGCTTAGTTCTTCGTTTTTCAGTGTATCATTAGCTTTGTTATTGTTTCACACTTTCGATTACCACAGCAGTCGTATGTTTCGTTTACAGCTCACCTTTTAGTTTATCCACGTCCCTTTCGTAACTTTCACTTGTTAGTTTAGGCTACTTAGGAACAATCCAGGGACTGGTCTCGTTGGTGTGCGGTGGTACGGCTAATGTGTGTGTTGTGTGAACCTGTATGCTAATTAGTTTGTGCTTTGATTTCTGTAGCATTCATTGTATTGTTTATTTATTTGAACTTGATTTTAATACAAGGAGTTTTTGAGTTATTCTTAATCGTGTTTGGTATGGTTTATAGTTAATAAATTATAGTGTTTTGAATTACAGGAGTTTGTGTTGTGTAATTGATAGCTTGTTTTTGAATTAATTTTCTTCTAGTTATACTTTCTCAATGTGCGGTCCGAGAGCTCGTCCCATCTTGCGGGCTAGGGGTCGTAACAGCATCTCAAAAAGATGTTTTCAGCATCTAATTGCTCATTCTCCAGGTCAAAAAAAGAGGCTAGGATCTGCTTCTAGAGATGGCTATGGGTTTTCAAAGGAATAGGCTCGGGTGCAGAATAATCTAGCCCCAGGGGTTTCAAGCCAGTGACTTCTGTGCCGGTCCCAAGCCCGGATAAATAGAGAGGGTTGCATCAGGAAGGGCATCCGGCGTAAAACATGGCAAAAACCAAATATGCGAGTCATCAAAACGATTTTCGAGGCCCGGGTTAACAACGACCGCCTCCGGTGCTGTTGACTTACAGGGTGCCGGTGGAAATTGGACTATGTGCTGAAAGAGGACATGAAGTTAGTTGGTGCAAGAGTAGAGGATACTGAGGACAGAGTTAGGTGGAAACGGATGATTCACTGTGGCGACCCCTAAACTGGGAACAGCCGAAAGGAAAAGAAGAAGATGCTCGGTGGCAGAATGCGCTAGTAAGTTTTATTTTCATATGTGCAGCTGATACCAAAAATCAGGAAACACACTCCAGTGCACCCACGCTTCTCGCCCAATGTGGGCTGGATATAGGCACCAGCAAACCCCTGTAACCCCTAAAAAATGGAATAAGCAGGTGGGAAAATGAATGAATGAATGAACGAAAGGAAACAGTAACATTGAATGTAAGCTACGAGCTAATGTAAGTTTGAATAACTCTGACACTTTTTTATTGCAGATCATTTTACAGACAATTGGGTTTAATACTCAACCAAGAAACATTTAATACTCAATGCTCTGTTGATAATGTAAGTAGCCCTGCAAGTAAAATACTCCTTTAGGTACATTAAAAGAAAATTCTGTGAAAAGAACGTTTATTTCTATCAATCTTTTGTTTCAAAGTGTGAAACGAGTATGTGAAATATTGAAAAGTGATATATTTCAAGCCTTAATTTTAATTATTATGTCTTGAAATATTTTACCATTTGTTTAGTGAGCAAAAAACATATACCTTTCATTTTTTAAGTAAAATTTTTCGCCACATAATAATATATTTTTGCCATACTTAATTCTTTTTTTGTCAAGAATATATAGTGAAATTTTTATTATATTTTTCTATAATTTAACAACATCGAGAACAAGAAATACACCTGCTTCACTGAGATCAACCAGAGAACATTTTTGAGCTTATCTGTGCGATTTCAATGTTGCATTTACATATGCAAATATATGGCCAATCAGAGAGCTGTTCTCAACCTCTCTTACAGGTTATCATCCTTTCAGGCCATTCATGCAGTGAAAAACAACGGAAACATTGTCTCTGCTTTTTTTGAGGATTTTTGAATTTTTATTTGGTTAAAACTAGATTTTTGTTAGAAAAAAAGTAATACTAATAAGATAATAACTAGTAGATAATTGTTTAGCTTAACAGTACAAATACCTAACAGAGTAATGTAAGATAATAATTGTTTTGGGTTTTTATTTAGTTTTTTTGTTTTTTTTTCTCACAAATTTTCACAAAAAAAGAAGCTGGGGTTGTACTAAAAAGGATATCAAGCATAACCACAGAAACCGTTTTAAATGTAATTTAT